ACACATTTTTCAAAAAATACTATTCTATAACTCATTATTCCCAAATAAATTATATCAAACAAGCACTAATATTGAAGTACAACTCTAAATCCAACTGCTAGCCTATTTTCTATTCAATCACATTAAATGCACATCTTTTTTACATAATTTTTTAAATCGTGTCGTGTGACAACACATGATTGAATAGTTTAAAAAAAGCACACACTTTTTCATCCCAACTTTTTTTGAATTTCAATGGAATGTACACAAAGGTGTGAACCCTACAATGTACATATTATTTTCTATTACCTTTCTAACAGCCCTATTTAGCACACATTAAAATTTTCATTCTCATTCTTCTACTCATTTTCAACCATACATTCTTCAATAAAATAATATTTTCCATCACATCAGTAACTTTTTCTTCTTTTTCAACCACAAATTCTCCATCAATTTACTATTCCAGAATACATTCTTCCTAAATAATGTGGCTCAAACACACCCTCAACTTAACCTTATATTGTTCGCTCGCCTCGTCTCTGAAATTGACGAGTCCAACTTTCAACAAATAGAGCGAAACTTTTAATGTACATGTTTATTTTATGTTATCCACTCAATTTTAATTTGATCATCTAGTTTGCATTTTTGTTGAATCAAGCTATTTCATTATTAAGTGCAACCAAAATCAATGAAATATGTGGCATGACTATAGAATATGTGATTTGACTAATATATAACTCGAGAGCACCTGTTTGACCGTGACAAATGTGTTTTGAGTTAGTGATTTTTTTGGGAAATATATTGTTAAAAAATAAGAAAGATTTTGAATTTACGTATAAAATTATTTTATAGAAAAATGTCGTTGAAAAAGATTTTTTGGAAAAATGGACCCTGACCGGAACTAAATAAAATTGTGTAGCCAAAACTCAAAGTTAGGTAATTAATTTCACCACCTAAGCCACAAATTCCATTATTTTTAAAATTGTTATAGACAAAATGACGAAATTAAAATATAAGTTAAGTGATTAAATTGAAATAAATCAAAATTTAGTGACTAATCTGTAAGTTGATTGACGCTGGTTCTCCTCGGCAAAAATCTCTATCATCTGGGTTTTGCAAAAGTGCAAACCCAAGTTCCCAACCCTCCGCCGTGCTCTTCTACCGCTCTCTTCCTCCGCCGCGAAGCCGCCCATTCCACCATAGACCATTTTCTCACTATTTCCTAGTACTTTCTCAATATCTTCCAACTTAAATTACATGGTCACTTTTGTTTTTGAATTATCTACTAAATTATATCTCTTTTATTTATTTATTTATTTTTCTTATGTAGGTTGTGTTTAGTTACTTCAGTATATCATGAATACATGCGGAGCAAATACAGAATTATCTCGTTGCCTTACCAATTTATTTAACCCGAATTTAGGCTTGGTAAAGTTTAATGCTAGTAATTTGAGCACAGGGCTTTTACCATCGTTGTACAATAATTCCTATAAAGAAGTGCAAGCTAGGAGTAGGACAAATGGAATTGTGTCATCCATATCCTGCTCCGGTACTAAAAACGATGTTGAAACTGCCAAAGGAAGTAGGGCTGATGGCCTTACGTATAAGGATGCTGGTGTTGACATTGAAGCCGGTTCGGAACTTGTTAAAAGAATTGCTAAGATGGCCCCTGGAATTGGAGGTTTTGGTGGGCTCTTTCCCTTAGGTATAACGGTCTTCATTCATTTACACCAGTGTTGGTGGTGTTATTTTAGAACATTAAATTATCAATGTCATGTAATCTTTGGTGAGTATCATAAACATAAATGACAACAGAATTAGAAATCTTTGTGAAGGAATGCTATTTTTCCTTTTCCCCTTGAAGATTTGTTTTACTCGTGAGCACATCAAAGCAGTTAATAATTCTATGACTCACAATAAATAGATTCAGAGGTTTAAGAGGAGGAAAACAATGGTATTTGTTATTTATGCATGCTGTCAAATGATTTTCAGAGGGTAATCTCATTTCTCAACACTGTTTGAATCGAAATTTCATTGTTTATTTACAGATTTTTGGTGTTCTTTATTTATGCATGCTGTCAAATGATTTTCAGAGGGTAATCTCATTTCTCAACACTGTTTGAATCGAAATTTCATTGTTTATTTACAGATTTTTGGTGTTCTTTTCTATAGAGTGAGACAAAAAGATACTTCAGACTTCAGTTGTTAAGTATGTGCTTTTGACGGTCGTCCATCACATGTTGAAGAAGTGTCCAACTAGTGTCTAAAACACCATTTCCTTCCTGAATTGAAGCGTGATTAAATTAGAATCAAATGCATGTTGAAAGTATCAACCCCTATTTAGTTTATATGTTTTGGTTATATGCATTTTGTATGGTTGTCTACCTTTCTTTTGTATGTTTTCTCTAGCTCTCTTGTTTTGGACTTCTTACTAAGTTACTAGCCTCTCATAGCTTAATTTAATGTGTAAATTCATTTATTCATTCAATTGTCCACAGGGGATTCTTATCTCGTGGCTGGCACAGATGGAGTAGGCACTTAACTTAAGCTGGCATTTGAGACGGGGATCCATGAGACAATTGGAATTGAATTGGTAAATTGTTGATATCTAATTTAGTTGTNTCTTTTAGGGGGAGAGGTACTCGTGGTTTTTTTTTTTTTTTTTCTGTGTTTGCAAGCTGTGTTTGCAAGTAAAAGGGCTTTTAAATAAGTTAACGTTTCTATTAGACTGCAGAGATGCCTGATTTTTATGCAGAAGGTGAGTATGACCTTAGTGGTTTTGCTGTGGGAATTGTGAAAAAAGAGTTGGTTATTGATGGGAAAAACATAACGGTTGGGGACGTCCTCCTTGGCCTGCCATCCAGTGGAGTTCATTCAAATGGGTTCTCTCTTGTCAGAAGGTTTAACTTCAGCTTTTAAATCAAACCTTTTTACGAGTATTCTAAAAAGCTCGCTTAGGCGGTGCCTAGACGCGAAGCGAGGCTCGAAGCTCGGATAAAACGCCTCGCTTTGCGCCTAGACGCTTTTTTTCTTTCCAATTCCTAAACGGCTAAATTTTTTCCTTCCTCTCTTTCGTCTTCCCTAGACACGCTTTATTAGTTTTTTTTACTTTTTTCTTTTTATTAAAGTTTTTTATTCAACTTTAGCTTATTATTATTTTTTTATTTTTAAAAAACTTTTCATTTGACTTTAGTTTCAAGTTTTTAAAAATCTGTACAAAATTAAAAATGACTTTATCTAAATAGTTAAATAAGATTTAACCTATGATGCTATCTACATTATGTAATTATGATCTTGAGACTCGTTATTTTGTTGCAAACTCCAAAAGTACGTATGAAGTTCCTATAAATTTATTAAGTGAGACTTGTCTAGTTGAAAATTGAAATTATGAAAAATATTCTAATTTTGGCATTTCAAAAACTTGAAAATTGTATAATTGACATTAAGGAATTATTAAATAAATATAGTATTTTATAATTTTAAATGTTTGATATGTATTATTTTAATTATTAAATAATTAAAAATCTAAAATAATATTAAAAATAAGAAAATACTTTTTTATGCCTAAGCCTCTCCTAGGCTCGTGAAGCTTCGCCTCCACGCTTTACGCTTTTTAGAACACTTTTTTATCTTGTCAGCCTTCGATACCCTTGAAGATCTTAATTTATATATTCCATCATTTGTGTACAGGGTTCTAAAGCACAGTGGCCTTTCGTTGAAAGACCAACTTCCTGGTTCATCTGTTACCCTAGGCGAAGCTTTAATGGCGCCTACTTGTATCTATGTCAAGCAGGTCATACCTCGAGGTCCATTTGAAATAGTTGTGCCTAATGACATCTCATTTTCTCACCTGATTTGATGAATTCAGGTTCTTGACATTATTAGCAAAGGTGGCGTTAAAGGGATAGCTCACATCACAGGTGGTGGTTTTACGGATAATATACCTCGTGTGTTTCCAAAAGGTCTTGGAGCTGTCATATACAAGGACTCATGGGTGGTTCCTCCTATTTTCAAATGGATTCAGGAGGTAAGAATCATTTATTCTATAGCCTAATCACTGCCCTTAAACCTTTTGTTCCTACTTTTTTTTTGTTCTGTACTTTACAAGGTTAAGCTGCATTTTTTATCAGTTATTTTCTTTATGCAATCTCTGCACCATTGTAATTTTACTATTTTTTTAATCAAATTTGTTAGGCTGGAAGAATTGAAGATTCTGAAATGAAACGAACTTTTAATATGGGGATTGGGATGGTTCTTGTGGTGAATAAGGATACTGCTCTTAAAATACTTGGGGATGGACATGGCGCAAATACAGCTTATCAAATTGGTGAGGTTATACATGGCGATGGAGTGAGGTACCGATGATAGATGGTGCATAAAAGGCTCATAATCACAGTTTGATCAAATTTTGTCTTGGTTACGAGAAAAATGTGCCTGGGTTTCCTATTTTCATTGCTATTATGTTGTGAAAGGTATTCAAGTAGTGGCTCAAAAAGAAATATGAACAGCGAGCTTTGAAATACTAGTGTTGTTTTGACCAATGAAAGACTATTTAGCTCAACGGCTTTTCTTTTTCCAGTGCAAGTTTGTAAATAGAGCTATATTTATGCGAGGGTGTGGATCATAATTTGTGTAATTTTTATTTTCAAGGGATCCTTTAGTCTTATCTTATACAACGGATGATTATTATTTTTTCTTTTTTCATTTCTTATTATTTGTGTTTTTTTTTCTCTCTTTGGTTTGAAGGCCAACGAAAATTAACTCCATTAGAATCAATTTAGACAGCCTCAGAAATGGAACTTGGAGACTCTTCAAGCCATTCCGAATCAGAAAGGTGCATTAAAGAGAAACTAGCATGAGCATGAGCTACGAAGAAAAAAACATTCTAACAAAAGAATGAAGTACAACAATGGAACAATGGATAGAAGAACGCCTTCTTGGGGAAGAGGAGACTATTCTTTAATTGCCATCATTGCATTAATGCAGATAGACTCCAAGAACATGATGTGGAGAGTTTGAAATTTCGCAAACAGTAATTTTATCAAGATAGTGTAGTACATAGCAAAAAAAGGAGAAATTTGACCATGAAAAAACTTGGAGAATGCAGCTAATAATTGTCCTTCAAGATTACACATCATTCCTCCAATACCGTGACCATCACCATCCGATGCAACAGCGGCTTTCACATTAAACTTCAGAATTGTGTTATAATCAAATTCAGTTGAGATCGAATAGAGATGCAGATGCTCTAGGAAATATCAAAACAAATAAAGACCGGGAGAATACAATGAAAATTGAATAAAATGTTTCTCAACATGGTGGTAAAAAAATGATTTTGAACCGAACTTTGATGAAAACTGTGTGTAAGTGAATCTAAATTCCACCAGCTTAAGACCGGAAGTAAAAATAAGTACTTTGCTTCCTAGAGTATCGCTTACACCACCAGAAAAGCCATGAAAAAAGCAAGGGAAAACATAAGGAAAAGAGAAAAAAAAAAGAGGAAAAATTTCCTTGAAGAAATGGTTATTCTCTATGCACTCTTGCATTTAAGACATCATTAATTCACTGCCCGGTCACTTTAAACACACACACACACACAAGATAGTGTAAAGGGCATTTTAGTTTTTCTGAGAAGACAATTACCAGATTTACTATGAGAAAGAAGCTTTGGCTTTCATTGAACCTTCTACTTATGCATTGTTGTTCAGGTATATTTTATTTCCATCTCACGTTTTTGTATCTTCTTCTCATTGTAGTCTGTTGATCTGGGGTTCCCTCTCTGAAAAAGAAGTTAAAATCTTGTTTAACTGTCTAGTTTTGTCTGGTATTGCATAGCAATAGTCTAGTTTCTCTTTTTTTTTAACGGTTTGCAATAAGGATAATCTTTCATATCAATGAGGCAATTACTTAGATTGTGTGGAGCTTACTCAAACTATAAGATTCCTATTTTTTCAAGGGTGTTTTTTGGGCAAGAGAGGTGAATCTTCTCCATTATAGAGAAACGTACAGCGGCGAGAGTGAACCACCATAATTATTAGACTGTTTTCTGATTGTTTTTGTTAAATTATTATTGCTAGAGATTAGGGTATAACGTGGTTTAATCATTTAGTACTAGGAAAGAGCAAGGTACAAGAGAAGGCAGAAGCAACTATCCCAGTGGCAACTCCATCTTTTCCAGAAGGCAATACAACATTTCTTGGTGGCACAACATGGTGTATAGCCCATCCATTGGTTTCCCCATTTGATTTGCAGATTGCATTGGATTGGGCATGCAGTTCAGGTCAAGCCGACTGCGGCCCAATTCGACCTGGAGGTCCGTGTTTCGAGCCGAACACTCTGGTGTCCCATGCATCCTTTGCTTTCAATAGCTACTACCAACAGAATGGGAATAATGATATTGCTTGTAATTTTGGAGGAACTGCCAGATTAACTCAAACTGACCCTAGTAAGTGGACAACTAACTTTTAAAATACATTTTGCCTTGTCTAATTTCCATTATTTCCAATAAAATAATATTGCACCCAAACACAAAATTTTTCTTATTTTTTAACCACACATTCTTCATCCATTTACTATTAGAAAATGCATTCTTCTCTAAAAATGGGGCTCAAACAGAGCTCAAAGTAGTTCTTCAATAAGACATACATAAAAGAAATGACTCCAACCCATTTTCCAGAGCCTGAGAAATGGACTGTCCAGTCTTATTCATTCTTGATTATTATTACTTTAATAAATGTCTTTATTTCTTGCTGCAGGTTATGAAAAATGTGTGTATGAAACTTCTGGGTAAGTTATTTGCAGACTCCAATTTATGTATGGTATTGGTAAAATTGCATGATTGGTTCCCAACTTATTGACGTAGTTGCAAGTTGGTCCTCAAGTTTTTAAACGGAACGTGTTAAGTCTTTAACCTTTTAGTTGCACAATTACTTTCTAATGACGTAGATTGTGCAAAATTTATGCTAAATCGTAACATGCCCTCACACGTTTAACTTTATAGGAAGATATGTTTTGTTTCTCAACTTGTGAGGCACATTTTCACGAAAAAATTAGAACTTGCAACTCAAACAATAGGATTGAGACTGATGATGAATTATTTTGATCTATTATTTTTCACTGCATGCAGGCCTGTAAAATCTTCAGCCCCACCATCATCAAGGTACAAAGCAAAATGTATTGGGTGGAAATTTGGTGTACCAATCCTCCTGTTTCTGTATTTAAGAAGATGATTATAATTTAAAATACATATTGTACCTACTTTGAAAAAGTTGTATGGGGCAGAGCTCTTTTATGTTAAATTGTTCCTTACTTTCTTGCTAATTTAGGCATCTTTTGCATTGTAATATGATATTTATCTATAAATAGTCTCTTTACTTTGAATAATAAAAATTTAAAATATTATACCTTGTAACTTTCAATCTTTGTAAGGAATATTGATGTTTGGTTTAACAAGGGAATATAACTATATAATATTTCTTCATTTGAATTAATATTGATGTTTGATAAAAGAAAATTACATCCAAATCTTATCCACTTGGGCTCATCCAATACTATAGTGACATATCAGCAATGAGCAGCTAAATGTGTGCAGTATTTTGATTTTGAAGCCACAAATTCTTCATGTGACTGTGGTACAGAGTTTGTAGCAAACTTATAATACATCAAAATGGAAATATAATTAAAATATAACTTGGAAAAAGAAAAAAAAAAGGTACAATTATTCTTTGACCAGTTTCTGAGTTGGGCAAAAATGGGTACTGCTGTGATGACTTCTCTCCCACAATTCAGTGGTCTCAGACTCAAACCAGCATCAGCTTCCCCTGTCAAAAGCTTGGTCAGTTTCTCTTAATTTATGTTATGTTTACAGTATTAGACTGAGTACCATTAATTCAGCTTATCGAACATGATTGTTCAAATGGAAACGTTTAGTGCTATTCGACTTTCCTTACCGAATGTGACATGCAAGGTATGTGATATTGTTCCTCTTCAGGTCGCTACTCAACCGTTGAAGCATAAAGGGCAGGGAGCTTTGGGCGCCCGCTGTGATTTCATTGGCTCCCCAACAAATTTGGTAAGATTTCAATGCAGTTCTATATGATTTTAGTGCAAATTTGACGTAAATTTTTGTTGGGTCGTTCAGAGTTTGATCATATCATTCACTTATCCTCTCGAACTCTAGTCGATATGCTCGTCATTCCAAGCATAAGCTCCGGAGGCGAATCATTTATTGTCATATAAGAGTGAATCACTATAAATTTATGTATTTGTTGTGCATATTTCTAATTTTGTTTTTGGCTCTCGTAAACAGATAATGGTGACTTCAACAAGTCTGATGCTGTTTGCCGGTCGGTTCGGTTTGGCTCCATCTGCAAACAGGAAGGCTACTGCGGGATTAAAGCTTGAGGTGAGGGACTCAGGGCTGCAGACAGGGGATCCAGCTGGTTTCACCCTAGCAGATACATTGGCTTGTGGAGTTGTAGGTCACATTATTGGGGTTGGGGTTGTACTTGGCCTCAAGAACATTGGTGCCATCTAAATTTAGTTCTTCAACAAACCTGTTAATAAATACATATTTTGTGTTAAATTCCGTCAATATGCAGCAGTATTTATTTGGCTTCATCTTATTCCATATAACATAAGACATTTTCAAATAATTTGGTCAAGTACAAGGATCTCAAGACAACAGATTTCTAATTTTCTATACATTCCAATCAGTTAATCACAGTACAAGAATATTATCCTTCGCACAATGATGTAACACCATATACACTTCTTACAAGCTATTCAAAAACTTCAAAAAACACAGGACGCAGAATTGCTTCCATCACACAATGATGTAACACCATATACACTTTGCTTTGCACGAGATTATGTGTCTATTTTGAGGAGAGTATTAAGCGATGTACTGTTGAATCTCTGAGCAAGGCCTTGGATGACTAGGACAATGACATCACGCAGGTGCCTCGTCTGCACCATTAAGTCCACTTCGTTTTCACTGTCTACAACAATTTTAAGACCATGTTGATCGTCTCTGAACAGCTCTACCTACATAAGAAAGTTCGTATGAGATGGGAAATGCATAGAAATATCAGGGCATGCTATATGTGCCTCAACATAATTCACAGTTTCAGAATTACGAGCATAATCTACTTTTGGGTATCCACTCTTTTCATCAATGTTATAATATCTGACTCTGAAATTTCTATTAAGTGAGCATAATAAGACATGTTCGAAGAGTCTAAATCAGAAACATACGCTTAAGTAAGGATGGTCAGACGGCATGTTTTCTTTACAAGGAACTTTTTATAAGGTAATACTGTCATATTTAAGGAAGTGATGTGAAAAATAAGATCACAAAAATAGGTCACTTTAAAGTAGGAATAATTTGAACTATAAAATTAGTGCAGATTAGGATTAAAGAATAACGCATACATGAAAAGGAGGAGCATAAGTTCCACGAATTTCCGTTGTTGGGAATGAAATCACAACCTTGATCCTCTTTCTATTGACTTCAAGAATTCCTCTCCAGAGTTCCAACTCCAGGAATCTGCAAATGTTCAAAATGGTACGACATCTAGAGACCGATTGTTTTCTGCCTTTCTTGATAATACAAAAGCCGTGTAGTAAATCAGGAAGAATACTAAGAAAAGTGCCTTTTTAGAAGATCGATCCTTGTTGCACAGTGCCTGTTTCAAAAACACTGTAAGTACCAGTTTGGTGAACGGTTAAAACATTTTAAGCACTGAATTAAGGTAAACCGTGAGGATGTCTTGGATCGCGTGAACTTTGTAAACAGCAATATATTGAAAAATACTATTGGTATTTCACTAATGTAACTTTGTGAGGACACTGAAACAGAACGAAACAAACTATTGAGAAGAAATAATACTGATAAGTGCGTTTTGTGCACTTAATTATGCGACAAAACATGATTAATTGTTGATATAAATGTTTGAATAAGGCTTAATTCAATATGAATTGTGTTTGTAGGTTTACTTTGATGGAAATAATGAAATATGC